CTAGGATTTACTAGATATAGGGTAGTTTGGTATATAAAAGAGGGGGACAACGTGACGGGACAATAATGTGTGTGTAGGTAATGAGTAATTGAACTGCAGTCAGAGAGAGACGTATTGTTGAAGTTAACGTTCGTTGATATAGCGTTTGTTTTAGCGCGATTGTTGAAAACAAGTGTATCATAAGTTATATTCGGAAAGAATAAACCAGTTTTATTAAGTAAGGACTTGTGTCGCTAAAGTTTCGTCGGAACGAAGTTACGGGAAGTTAATTAACAAACGGATACATAACAACTCTATCTAATGTTTATGTGTACTACCTGTACTAATCAAATGACTTGTTAGTTTTAAGCTCAGGCACTACTCGGACATTTCAGGAGTCCAAATAGTGAAAATGGGTTTTTCTCAGGGTCCTCCCATTTTCCTCCCACATCTAAATTACAGGTATTTGGATCTTTAGGTCCCCACTCATCCTGTGTGCTACTCTCACTGCCATTAACAGCTTACTTATCCAAAAAAACTATTATTCATCCTCGTTTTCCTGCTTCTTGCTTGCTGACCTCCATTGTTAGAACAGACACAAGTGTGTACACGTATGTATGTATGTATATATATATATATATGTGTGTGTGTGTGTGTGTATAATCTTTTCTTTTTTTTTCAATCACTAGTTATGCTCTCAAAATTAAGTCACCCACAAAATTTAAAATCTTGAGCGGAGTGAAGAGATGTAGGGATTTTATGTAATCATAAAAGTAGTATTCTAGAGTTATCTTAAGGAAAGGTATAATGATGAAAGTTGAGATTTTATTCAAACACCAAGCTTTTGAAAGACAAGCCAATAATGTCGGGATTTTATTCTCCATGTAAAGTCGAAATGGCTTAGTCTGCTATGTGATCATTAGCCGGATCAAGTGATATGTCCACTTCCATCCTTATCTTGTTTGGTTCCTTTTTTAAAGTTCAGTAGCCAGCCCTATATTGATCTTTTATTTAGCAATAAATTTCTTTCCTAATACTTGTATTTATACAGACACACACATATGATAGATAAAATGTTACCTTACCTTCTACATTTACCACATATATAATCTCATCCGACCCATATATGTTCCACACACTGCAGGAATAATTTCCAGAATCCTCAAACCTTACACTCTCAATTCTCAAAGTTCCAGTAGGAAATACCTCTAATCTATCAGTTTTGTTTACAAGCTGACCTCTGCAAAATAATATTAAGTGTATATGTAATATGTTACCCACAGTAAACTAGTTTAAATGATTCTAAGATTTTCATTCATAAAGATAAAACGTTTAACCAGGATTATTGTCATGGTTAATAGCCCATACAATCATCTAGTTAAGTCTGATCACTAATTGGTTACTAATTTTATTGTTCATGACAGACACACAAGATTCTGTAGTATTATCTACCTGTAATAGTTTCTGTATGCCAGAAAGACAATCATGCAATAAAATGATATTAAAATAATGGGATACCAGCTATACATGAGAAAAGATAATGGTAAAAAAGAAGCCTTCTATATCCACCTAACTAATAACACATTTAGTTAACCTGACACACAAGTAAGCAAAACCTGGATACTCTATGGGAAAACATTCAGATAGTAAGTTAATTCAAATCCTAATGGGATGAAAGCTCTGATGAGTGGATAACACCTGCCATTCTAATAAGAAAATCAAGGATTAAATCCATGCAACCTCATACAGCTCTTCTCAAGACGATAATAGCAAATTAAAGGCCAAGATACAGAATGTAAAGTAATTAGTATCTAGTAATATATAAACAAATAAAAGAAATTAATTGTCAATTAGATATTGGTGATCATACAGGCTATTAACCAAACATCCAATTGCTACAACCTCATCGTTAATACCAAGTAACAAGAATGTTTTAATAACTAACATGTTTTTGTTAAGCTTGTACAATAAAATATGATGTTCATAACATGTACATTAAAAAAAAAGCAGATATGATTTTTCCTTTCCTGAAACGGGGCCTAAAATCGTCTGAAGGTGATTCTTAAATTCTAATGGCAGTATAAATAACATGTGTATGCTACTTTATTACTTCTACAATTACAATTTACCATATATTTTTAATATTTAAATTTACCAGACAAAAAATATGTTATATCAAATAAAAGTCTAATTGTAAAAACAAAATACTGCTTGGAATCCTATTATTTTTTTTATAAGGATTGACAATTTTTAAAATAAAATTACTATATAAGGATCTGTCTAGTTTTTATAGGACTGAATTAAAAACATGAACTAGAAAAGGAGGGTGTAATGAAATGTAAAATGATATATTTTTAATGAAATATTTGTTTTACTTGATTTATAAGAAACATTTTTCAACATGTTCACTCTTAAATGACCTAAAACTATAAACACTGACAAAGAATTAGTGATACCTATATCTCCATTCCCTAAATGGGGTTGGAAGACCGACTGCCCTACAAGGTAGCTCGATATCTTGTTGTTGCTGAACTATAATCTGATCACCAAAAGAAGCTATTTTTGCTGGTGCTGTAGAATGAGAATTCCAATAAATCTTAAGATAAGTTTTGTATTAATTAAAAGTCACTTTAAACTGTATTGTAAATGTATTATTGCAATTATCTGATGTAAACTTTGTTAGATTTATAAATGCATGATGATTTTCATAAGATCAGGCAACATTTCATCAAGTCACTGGAAGTTTAGCCTAAGTTTGTAATTTTATATTCCATTAAGAATTTCAAATAAACTTTATAGAAATAAAATAAATAATTGTTAGTTTTTAAGGCATAGGATTCTCTCCAATTAGTCAGTCATTAGATGTTTAGATCAAACTAAATGTCAGTCATCAGATGTTTAGATCAAACTAAATGTCAGTCATTAGATGTTTAGATCAAACTAAATGTCAGTCATTAGATGTTTAGATCAAACTAAATGTCAGTCATCAGATGTTTAGATCAAACTAAATGTCAGTCATCAGATGTTTAGATCAAACTAAATGACTTCTCAGTGGTAGGTGACTTAAATATAATGGATTTGAAGATTTTAATATTTTATTGTGTTTGTGTTACCACGAGTCCCAGATTAAATACAAATCCTGGATGCATTTCATTTTTAACATACAGACCATAATAGATATAACACTTTATAATATCATTAATATCAATTTATATCTTAAAAATAAAAATACATTAATATGTGAAATTTTAATAATCCTACAAGTAAAAATCACCCTCATATTATTATAATTACAAAGAAAAATACTCAATTCTCCACAAACAAACTACAATTCTATATAAAACCACCTTCACGTACTTATATAACTTTGTATAATAATGCTAGTAGATATTAATTTGGTAACTATATCTGAAATCCAACAGGATACAACATCCAGCTGGTTGACGAGTTTGATCCCAGTTAATTATAATGATAATTAACTGGTACCTTTTAGAATTCATAGTAATAAATATTATTTTTTCTATATTTTTTCTTTTGTTCTGGTATAAAAAGACAAACTAACGGGACTGATAAATACAACCATTTATGTGGCTAGGTAGCTTAAACTTCACAACAAATTAAGCTGAAAGAAAATAACTTTTTCATAAGTTTGTACTGTCCAGAGCTATACATTAATATATATGGCACACACATTATTATTCTATTTGAGCTCGAAACATGTCCAATGAAGAAAATTTGATCTTACCTCTACGATCTGGAGTCTGTACAATAATTGGACTAGAGCCACCTTCACCCATACTTGTTGAAGCTGTTACCCAGAATTCATAGTGTTGTCCAAGTACTAGGTCTCTGGCTTCAAATGTCAACTGGTTTGCTGGTAAAATGGCCTTAGATATATTCTATAATAAAAAATATATGCTATATAATCTAAAATCAATTAATAAAGAATCGATAAATTAAACCACAGCACAATAACGTTAACACTCACCATTCAAAATATGTTTAATAGGATTAAAATCAGTTTATCATTTTATTTTTTTATTCTGTTAGTCGTATCTATTCTTAAAATTAGTAACTTAATAGATTTCTCTGATTATTATAAAATAGAATAAAACTTTCTGACCCCAGTTACAAATATTGTCAACAAAGATTAATGCAATATTTTGATAACAAATATAAAAGGATAGTATTGGATTATATTAAAGGAATATTTAAAAAAATAAGATGAAGAAAGAACAAAAGATTTGTTATTAGTTTTATAACAATCAAATTAATGTAAGGATACATTATTGAATCTACGTGTATTGTTATGTCAGATAATTACTGAACAATACAAAACAGTTGTAGTTATACATTGTTTCAATTACTAAATATATAAAGAAAGTAAAAAAAGAGAAAAAAAACATTAACAGTGTGAATTAAGATCCAGTGATTCAAGTTCTACCTCAATATTGTTATAGAATCCTACAGAAAACATTACTATAACGTTAGAGAGTGCTATTAAATTTTTTCTGTATTTTGTTCTTTTTTACTAAATTTGTAGAATTTTAATTCTAATCATTGAATACTGTGTTCGTGATTAGAGAGTTCATATTGTTAAATCAGCAATTCAATCACACTCTTCAGATCTTGAATGTTATTTGTAAACAGCAAGAGTACAGGGTTAGTATATTTCTTTGTAATGACTGCTGTCAACTTATTCTTAAACTGGAAGAACAATTCTTTACTTCTAATAAAATTCATATCTTAAAGTAAAACAAACATGTACTGGCACAGATATTTCCAGTGGTTTCCAAAATACATTTCTGAAAAACATAAAAAGCTAACATCTATTGTCTCAGATTCATTTGAAATGTTTATAATGACATGGATGTATAATTTTAGTCTCACGGAGTTCAGTTTATTTGTTCGTAATTAAGCACAAAACTACACAATGAGCTATCTGTACTCTGCCCACAACGGGTATCAAAACCCAGGTTTCTAGCATTGTATGTCCACAGACATACCACTGTGTCACTGGGGGGCTTCAGAGTTCACCAGATATTTAAAGGAGTTTTCCCCTCTTAACCACAAATAAAATGAAAGTCTGTCTGTTGGTTTAATGCAATTCAAATCAGGTATACCATTCAATAGTCCTAACTAGCACTTTCCACAATAATCCCATATCATCATACTCAAACATGAGCAATAATATTTTTTATTTCATTTTACTGAAATATTTAGTGAAACACGTACTGCAGTGTCAATTCACTATAAACTTGATGTCCTTTACTTCCATTCACCCGCTTGTATGTTGTAACTGTCTTACTAATACATATAATTCACTATCTCTCAGGCAGGAAATATTTTTCTGAGAAAGACTGCAAGAAGACAGCTTAAGAGTTTAGCCTTTTCTTTTAATTTTGCAATAAATTGAAATAGAGTTTAAATGCATAGTACATATTCATGTAAGTAATGGAAACATTACCTGTCTCCCTTCAATTTTTGTTCGCTTATATACTGTATACTTTATAACTTCGCCATTCGGTTTTAAAGGTGGCTTCCAACTAACCAGAATGGCATTTTGAGCCATGATAAATACTTTAATGTTTGCTGGTTCTCCTGGAACTGAAAAAGATTAAAAAGAATTCTTAATAAAAATAATACAAGTTATTTTCTTTAATTACGAAAATTAGATGAAACTCAGTTAAATTGTTATTTGAAATCTATGATAAATTCACTATGAGTATGAACAGAAATTACATTGTATGTTTAGAAATATTTCTCCACTAGTTCTGATATATAAGTTACAAAACTTATCGTAATTAAATAGTTATTTCATCTTGCGATATAGATACTTCCCATCCAGAAACGATTACTCAGTAATAAGCTCTAATTTTAAAACTTATGTAGTACCTCCTTCAAGTGTTCTACAATAAACAGGATCACTGAAAACACCATCTCCAACTCTAGAGTATGCTGCCACTCGAATGCTGTAGTTTGTGAAGATTTCCAACCCAGTTAAGTTGATAGTTAAATCTTCACTTCCAACTCTGCGACTTTCTGTATCACCTGAAATAGTATTCCATGCAATACAACTACAAAGATATCATTAATAATTCAATATCAATTAAACTTTTAATGCTTTAGATATAACAAATTAATGGACATTAAATAATTATCTGTAAATTAAATATTATAGAATGTAGTTTTATATGTTACAATAATAAAGTTTTATACAGAACACAATTTTATACATTTAATAGTAAATTGGTGTTTTCCTCAAGTAAAGTTAATAATCTATAATTATGTAAGTGTAAAGATTGATGAATAAAAAGTAGATGGCAGCACTTTAAAGGGAAATAATAGAATCTTACATTATCAAATTGTTAAAAATTTCTTATAATTTGGAATATTTTGTTCTTATTACACTAAAATCTATTTTATGTAACAGTTATTTAACCTTTTTTCTTGAACTGCTTTATTTTAAATGTGAATCTTAAAATATTTATTGTAAACACAAACCTCCCTTTAACCTTATTTTAAATGTGCATCATTCTTAAGTGATTTATTGTAATCACAAACCTCCCTTTAACCTTATTTTAAATGTGTATCATTCTTAAGTGATTTATTGTAATCACAAACCTCCCTTTAACCTTATTTTAAATGTGCATCATTCGTAAGTGATTTATTGTAATCACAAACCTCCCTTTAACCTTATTTTAAATGTGCATCATTCGTAAGTGATTTATTGTAATCACAAACCTCCCTTTAACCTTATTTTAAATGTGTATCATTCTTAAGTGATTTATTGTAATCACAAACCTTCCTTTAACCTTATTTTAAATGTGTATCATTCTTAAGTGATTTATTGTAATCACAAACCTCCCTTTAACCTTATTTTAAATGTGTATCATTCTTAAGTGATTTATTGTAATCACAAACCTCCCTTTAACCTTATTTTAAATGTGTATCATTCTTAAGTGATTTATTTTAATCACAAACCTCCCTTTAACCTTATTTTAAATGTGAATCTTAAGTGATTTATAGTTAATCACAAACCTCCCTTTAACCTTATTTTAAATGTGAATCTTAAGTGATTTATTAGTAAGCACAAACCTCCCTTTAACCTTATTTCAAATGTGCATCATTCTTAAGTGATTTATTGTAATAACACACCTCCTTTTAACCTTATTTTAAATGTGCATTGTTCTTAATTGATTTATTGTAATCACAAACCTCCCTTTAACCTTATTCAAATACAAATATAATGAAACTTTAATAATCTACATGAATTATTTAAATTTACAACCTGCCAGACTCTTTAGTAGTTATTTAAATTGGATAATACTAACCTATATTCATTCATAGACATACAAGTATGCATATATACGTAAATGTTATATGTACTTAAGTTTTAAAAAAAAGAGAAATTTATTAGTTAAAACATTTCATGTGTATAATAATTAGATAACTAAATAATAAGTTGGGTCTACCATTTAAGGGCTACAATATAAATTATATTCAGTAGTAACTGATGGTTTAAAACAACTGGGCAATTTTTTACTTACTTTATTGATTTCAAGCACGATTTATGACTTTTAGAAACAAGATTATTATCTTAATTAACCTGGTGAGCATTCCTGTTATATCATTGAACACCAGAGGTATAATTGTGCTGTTATTCACCAGAACTCAGTACCAGTTCTTCTATGGAATTCCAAGTGGATTATTGTCTCGCTTTGTTTTTTGGAGCCAGTACTGAGTTCCATTATTTTTTGTACTTCTTGATAACTTAATTTGAATAGTGTATAAAGAGGTACTGTCAACTTGCAGAGACCTTGATAATCTGTACTCTATATGGCAATGGTAAGTACTCATAAAATAACACAATATCATGTGTAGCAGTCAGAGAACAAAAACTACAGTAAAGGGAACAAACTGTCAGAAGTCTTGATGTTAGAGAAACTAACTGTTACAAACAATAGCATTATTTTATGGTTATACTAGCCATGAAGAAATGAAGATATCTTCAAAATCTTTTCAAAATCCAACATGAAATTAGCCTTCTCTATAGGACTTTTTAAACACAGCTCCTGAAGGCCAAACAGAAAAAATTACAAAGGCAGTTTCTTATTAAGTTTTTGAAGAACAAAGCAAGTCCAAAAATATTGAAGAATCAATGACTTTGTTTTGGTAACCTTGAAGAATCCGTCTTGAAAGAAAGAACAGAGAAAATAAATGAGGCCTTTTTTGCATCATGTAAAGCAGCATGCATACTTCGGAACATCACAAAGGAGAACATTACACAAAATAGTCCATACTGTAGTACCAAACAAACTGAAGCATAGAGAGGTAAAACTCAATGCTATCATCAAGTACTTTTTGCCATGATCAGTGCAATACTGATCAAATTTTGCATTTATTAGTATCTGCTAAAGGTGGTCAGTAACTTAGCATTAGGGACAAGCATCTGTACGCTGGTTTATGTGGCGATTGAATCATTTATAAGAGTTTCAATGTATCAATATCATCTTATTGTGTATTTGGCCTCAAGAAAATTCTATAAAAACACATACACACAATTTACACATTTAATTATTTTTGATTTTCTTAATTCTTTGTTTGTATGGTTGTGAAAGCCTTGCCCTTCTTCTGTTCTTAGCATTGTACCACATTTCAATTATGGAAAGTTCAAACAATGAACTTTCTGAGCCTAACGTCACAATTCTCATTAAACAATATCTATTCAGCTTTCATAGAGCATCTGAATTTTGTCTTCAGCTTGTTTCCTACAGAAAGGATTTTTTGACAATCAACGCTTAAATTGTAACACAAAAGCATAAAGCTATTTCACACACTTTTGACATGTTGGAAAATTGATCACCATGCAGTGTGATAGCATTTTTACATAAATGATCAGTTCTTGAAATTTATATGTGCTTTCAATATACCTTTGAACCTAGGCCATTCATGTCGTACCAAACCATTTTTGTTAAGCTCAGGAATCCCCTCAGTTACAGTGTTTTTTGCATCATTTGATTTTGGTGAATTTATTGGTTCCATACATACCTGCAAGATTAGTAATAGCCCTATCTTCAAGTATGTGTTATTATTATAAATATACAGATAAAATCAGTGGTGTAGGAATGAGTTGCAAAGTGTGGGTGCTTGGCTAGATATGCAGATTTTACAATGAGAGTACAAGGAGCTGCTAATAGCAGCTACCATTCAGCCAAAGACAGATCAATCTAGGGGGATTTGGAAGCATGCCCCCCCCAGAAAATTAATATAATAATATAATTTACAGTTACTATATAAGTTAATTATGTAAAAGTGCTACAGTACTCCATTTCTGATGCCTCCACATAAAATATAAAATGTTACTGAAAAAAGCTTTCAATGTTCAATTAGGAGGTTCTAGAGATTATGCAAGTAAACTTTAAAATCAAAATAAATTAGTATACTTTATCTCTATCATCATGTTTCATGGAAATAGTTTATTTTAAAAAATCTGAGGCAGAATGAACCAGAACACCGTTCCAGTTGTTAAGTTGTGCAGCATGGAACTACTGTTCGCAAAATGGATATCAAACCTGACCGTTTCACTTGTTAATTTTTCACAACTCAAGCACTGACAAAAATGGAGAACAACAATAATATGAAAGTACTTCTAACTGAGTACAACACTAACATTAAGCCTCTAGAGAAAAGGTACAATAACACAAGTATCTGAATACCATTAGAGATAACTTGACTTCAAACACAACAGTACCTGATGATAACAAAACAAGGTATTGTTACGTCTCAGCTTGTTAATTAATTTTTCCGTAACTTCGTTCCAACGAAACTTTAACGACACAAGTCTTTA